ATGGACGGATTAGCTGTGCACAGTTTGTGCACAATGGGCAAAAACCGAGACAGAGACGACGGGAGAAGTAGGGAAAAAATGTGTGTGTTTATACATATACGCTGCGCAGCAGCAACGAGAGATAAATGGTTGCAAGACTAAATTGAATCTTCGAGCAAATAGATTAATGACGTCGTCTCGTGCATTTGCAACCGCATTGTTTTCTTTTGGATCGTTGGCACTTTGGATGAGTGTGGCCACAGTGTAAGCGCGCGTGCGCGCGTGAGCACACAAGCGCACGCGTGCTCTCGCATTCACACCAGATATAAAAAGAAGTATTTACGATGCGGACATTGGCACCCCGTCGTGTTAGAAATATGTTTGGCATGTAACCCGAAATACAAATAAAATGTTTGTTGCAAGCTTCAAGCTTTCGACAGCACAGAGCGAGAGAATGACAGCGCCAGAGAGTGAGAGAGTGAAAGAGGGTGAGGAGGAGAGAAAGCCAGACTACTGCTGTTGCGACCGAAATGAATGTTGTAACAAATGAAAAAAAGGTCATAATCGAAACGGGCCAGTCGAATCGACTTTCGTAATGTAATACAATCAATAACGATCTTTTAAATGCAATTTTAAGATACCTACGACGGTAATCTCGACGTTTCGAAACGACCAATTTATAACAGTCGAGCATTTAGTGGCTCAGTAAGAATGGCGACGTCGGCAGCTTCAACGTCGACGACGATAAAGCGATAAACTCAATCCCTTCGACACTTCAGCACTAGTACTGTTGTTTGCGAAACGGCAGAAGGCCATCTGGCAAACGCCTGTACGCGTTGTGCATCGCAAATAATTCGCTCGTTTGACCATCATGAATTTTATTTTGCTCTTTTACTGCCGTGCCCAATGATCTCCAACCACGTGGTTGGTGTGTTCATCTTTTCGTTGTTTTTAACTCCATTTTCTCGCCACTTTTCTCTTTCGTTTGGCGTTCATTTATTTTTTCTTCTTCTGCAAAGTTGGTGGAGAGGGGTCAAAAAAGAAGGGAGACGAAGCGGTCCGACTACAGTTTCGATTAAAGAAGAAAAACCACTTTATTAAATCGAAATCAGTCCAATTTCAAGTTTAATGAAGTAAGTTTTGAGCGTATTTTCCTTTTGTTCCTTCTGCTCTTTTCTCATTCACACTACACACACTTGCGCGCGCGCGCGCATGCTCTCATAACATAGGCAACGTTTACAGCACGAGAGACGCTTGTATCTCTTACTCAGCCATTTCGACGATGCCTTCTTTTTTTTGCTCGTGAATGTGTCTGCGTTCTATTTTCTTTCTATCTCGCCAACTCCTCTTATTCTGCCTTTTCCTATTTATTTTGCAAAGAAAATATTTTCGCTCTTTAACTAATTAAATGATAAAAAAAAGCGATCGAGTTAAGGGCAACAGACGAACGAACGAAGTATAAAATTTGAAGTAAAGAGAAAGTGCTTGAAATTGAGCGCAATTTTAAACTAATCATTTATAACACTTATTTGAAAATCGTTTAATGATCTACGTAGCCGAAGAGAATCGAAAGTTCAGTGGGAAAATTTGCGATAATTTCCGGATATCGGAAGAAGAAGAAGAAGTAGCGAAGTGGCTGCAGTCGAAGCAGTCAATGAAAAGGTTTTTAAAAAAATTAAATAAATAAGAAGAAGAAGTTTAAGCAAAATAGACGCTAAAAGCGTGTGCCAATTTGAAAAGTAGAAATACGGCAAAGTTTTCTACTTTATTTAATAAAAATTGATGAATAACAAGGAAGTTTGAAAAGTGCAATAGCGGCGCAATGATTTTATTCGCTGAAACATTTATTTAATATATACAATTTATCTGTGCTAAGATTTCAGCGCATCGATTGATTGAGCTGTTTCCGATGCAGTTCAATGCATCCCAATTTTGATTCAGGGCAAGAGAATGAGACTCGAATTGGAAAGGTGTATGGAATTGGGTGGGAGAGCATGGGAGATAGATCCGAGATGTTTTATCAAACTTTTCAATACAATCAGCTGGAAGCTTTCAGGAACGAGCAAACTTTTCAAATGGATTATTATACGATTTCCTGTGCTTCTTCTGCGTCACAACTCTGTTTTTTTTGCATTAAGATTTTAATTGTCGAAGAACAGACACAGCCGATCCATTCATTCTTGGAACGGCAGATCGGCAGGCAAACGAACCGATATGAACGGTTGCACAAAGAAGAATAAGAAGAAAGGGCAGAACAGAAAAACAGAGTAGCAGCAACAACTTTGCAATGTTAAAGTAGTGCCAATAATAAATAAAATGCGAAATAATAATAATGGTGGAAAGATTGCATATAATTTCCCTTTTACCAACATATTTTCCGATTAATCTCGTTTGCGGGCGACTCCGTTTTCAGTACACAGTCGATGCGCGCAACATTGCACGCGCGCTCAACTCTTTCACTTGATACGCACGAGACGTTCTCTTGACGCTTTTCGTTCACTCATTGGGTGAACACAGGGCATTGTACCGCTCAACATTTGCCGGCTCTCAAACAATTGTACGCTGGTTTTTTTTTCGCCACCGAAAGGCGGATGATCTAAGGGGCGACCGACTGCAAGAGAGCAGAAAAGCAAGCGAGGGAGGGTGCGTTGTCGTTTTCACTTCATATTTATTCGTTTGTTGAATTGTTTTTTTCATCCATACATTAAGCAGATACATTCGCTTATTTTATTCCTTATGCTCGAAGAGATTATATCGCTCAAGGAGAAGATTTAATTTTCTCATTAAAAATAATATTCTACCACTTTACATAGTTATAATAACGGAAAGAGAAGTACAATTCTAGCCATAAAGAAAGTATTATTATTATTATCATCATCATAATCATCATCGTTGGTTCTGGTTGTTGCCGCTGTTACCATCGCCGCGTCGTTCATTTCGCAATATTTTTTTTCTTCCTTTCTTTCTTTCTTTCTTTCTCTCTCTCTCTCTGTCTCTTTTCGCTGCGTATTTCTCTTGTTCATCTGTTTTTCATTTGTGTCTTGATTTTTTGCCATTCTTTTTGTTCATCGTCGACATTGTTCACAATCTCTTTCGGTTCCTGGTATATCTCGTATTTCTTCTTTAATTTTTCACTCACTTCTTTTTCTTGAATACATCAGATCGAATCTGCAGCGCCATAAAAATAGTTCTGGTTCGTATGCCAAGCTTCCGTCATGGCTGGCTATAAACTTTCTAAATAGAATTAAATATCTTATGGTCTTGGTGTCTACGACAATGTTGTTTTGCATTCACCATGGGGTAAAAAGAATGCGCACCATCAATTCCAAACAAATCCACCGAAAGAAGAAAGAAACAGAAAAAAATTATAATGCGCCAATAGAATATAATAGCGACACTTTCAACGATCTCTTTCTGTCTGCTAATTCACAATTATATTTGTCCAATTGGAAATTGCTTTGCTATAAATACATGGGCAGTTTAGTTGTAACATTGAATGGCTTTTATTCTTTCTGTCGCTTTTAAATATATGTTGAAAACTTTGACAGTAACAATGCCACTTTTGGAGCAATGAATTTGCTTACTTTGCAAAAGACTTAACTAACAACATGTATAATTGTGTTTTATACTCGTATTACAACACTTGAATTACAAAAGTCATTTAGATGTTTTCAAGCAGCTACGCCTTCCGAAATGAATCAGGTGCTCAAAAAGTAATGGGGAGAACTGTGTACGGTCAATCTATTGCGGCTGGCATCGATGGGAGGGAAAACGAGGACATTTGAAGTTCCTTCGCAGCCGATAAGAAATGTGTGTGAGAATGACACACGCAATGTCAATTACCTTGAGTGTGTCGCAACTAATCCCAATTAGCACCTTTGCCGTTCTGTACACATGATATACCAGTTTACCCCATGGATTGGGGACACTATTTAGCTATGTTCTCAACATTGCGTTGCATTTAATTCTCAATTATTCAATTGCATGCTCATTCACCGCCACTTTCAAATACACACAAGTGCGCGTATACTTACCAGAAAGGCGAGAATAAAAAAACTGACGGAAGCACGCCAGAATAAAAAAGCATACACAAACGGAATTATATGAATAAGATTGCAATGGTGTACACAAAGTTATGTCGAAAAAAAATAACCATGCGATTGTATGAAAATCAAAGCAGTAAAAAGTATGAATTAAAACATTCTCACAGCGAATCAGGCGCTAGAACGATGAAAGAAAGAAATTAAACGAAAACAACAGTAGTGCACACAAGATGAAATTAAATTGACGATAACAACCACTGAGAGAAAAAAAGAGCGCGCACGACGCACGAGTAGAGGAGGAGAGATGGAATGACTTCAAAAAGCGCAAGAAATTCACTGTGCCATTTCTCATTTCGTTTATCTTCTATTCCCTATTATTATGTATCGCTGCTCAGCTTCATGCTTTCGATAGCAAGGTTCTTTTTCTCTTTTCCCATTCCCCTTCTTCCGCCCTCACGCTTTGCTTGTGTGTATCTTCATCGTTCATGTTTTGTGTTCATTTGAGATTTTTCTTTTAATTTCTTACGTATTTCCTCGCATCTCGTTTGTTTTTTTTATTCTTCTTCATCTCCTATTCCCATCGTTTTGGCGCTATTTCTCTGTCTGATTTTTTTTTCTCTTCTCTTTTCACTTTTTCGTCGCATCCGTTTCTTATTCGCGTTGTTCAATTATAGTATGTTGTGTTGCCGTAGTCGTAATCAGCGAAAACTTTTCATATTATAGCAATAATTCTTATTAAAACAATTAAAAACGAAGACGAACGACAAAAATATGAAGAAAAATAAATGTCCACAGCGAAAATCGGACGCAGAGAATTCTCCTCTCTCTTTCATTCACAACAAATTTTCTGTTCGTTTTTTTTTGCCTCGTTTCTATGGGTTTTTTTCTTCTTGTGTTGCTGTTTGTTCATTCGAATCGAAAAGATTTAACCGTCATATATATACGTATATGTAGAAAAAAGAAGGTACAGTGATTTACCTCATTTGCAGAGCGCTGCGCTGGGTGTAATGAAGAGAGAGACGGCACACGGCCAATGGATGCCTCCTGAACACACAAATGCCAATTGCTTGTGTCTGTATTTGTGTGTCGTCTATGTGTTCAATAAGCGATTAAAATTATTGAAACAGATATCTGCAAAGAGAAATAAGAAGAAAATAAAATAGTTTATAGTTTGATAGTGCCATTTGTTTTGAAGGAAGCAACAACAAGAAAAATGAAAGGAAAAAAAACGGGAAAAACGAGGAGAAAATATTTCAATTGGAATGGAAAAGTTTGCTCGTCGACGACGACGATGTTGTGCGCGAGCGACAGGAAAGTCTCATTATGTTTTTCTATCTCTCTCTTTCTTGGCCGCATTCTTTTGCGTGTGAATTCACAACGATATAAAGTTGATAATGAAATCGGAATTGTGATCGTCGGCAAACAAGAACGACGAGCACTGTTTCACAAACCGATTTAGTGATTATGTAATACATTATTATGGTTTTCATCCACTTCCACTAACTCATTATTTTCTACAATTATAATTTTCAACTGGATTTTTTTGTTCATTCTTTCATCTCATCCCGCCAAACACACACAGACACAAACACTGTCCACGGCTCCACTAGTAGTGGCGCATGTTTTGGCACGAGCACAAGTGCCGCCGTGTACATTTGTTTGTTTCACCACAAAATGAACAATTGTCGATAAATTAAATTTTGAATTAAGCTAATTAAAAACATCGGGCACAAATATTTCATTGAATAAATAAAATGGACAATAGGATGGCACGAAATCATGCCAGTGGCATATGCATTGGAAATTTGTTGGAAAACACGCCACCGTAATTATATTCAAATCAAATGTTCGCCGTAAAATTGCAAATTAGATGTGTCTTTCAATTAATTTTCGCAACAATTCGAAGTTTCGGCCAAACCGGAAGAAACAACGAACTTTTTCATTGGATTTATTAAGCAAATGAGTAGAAACAAAAAAAAAATCAAATCAACATTCATTCGCATTGCACCCTAACGGGCGGAATTTTTACGTGTGGAAAAAATTAACATGTCGGGAAAACGATTGAGTCGTGGCGTCAACACGAAAAATGACGAGATTATACCGGGTTTCAGGAGATGAACAGAGCGGCGCGGAGTTGAACGAACCAAATAGCAATTTTGCAAATGCTGAATTATAATAATGCATTATATCCAAGGGAATGAATTAAACAAGTGTTTTTATTATTTGTTACTTCATTTGGCGCGCGTGTGTGTGTGTATGTGTGTATAAGCACGATTTTTTGTTTTTTTCCCACACCCGTTCTGGCTCCTGATTCTCATTTACATGTTTTACCTGCAATATTTGCGTTTGTACTGATGTTGCCATGTTGTTGTGCCATTGAACAACGCATACAGCAACAATTGGAAACTTGTTAAAAAAATATAAACATGGATCAAAAAATTAATATTTAATTTGTATTTTCACTCTTTTCATTTGCGCTCTCTTTTGCGCTCGCTTCGCATTTTGTGTTGTGTTATCGCGTAAATCAAGTAGAAAGGGCAACGAAATACGGTACTTTCTCCCGTTTGCATCCGTTACACATTTTCATTGTTTTCGATTGGCGAACACCGAATCGTAATACATTATATGAGGATGGCATGGTCATTACGTAAAATGCGTGTAACGCGTATGATTAAAAAGTCATTAAATCAATTATTATTTCATTTCGAAATGGACTTTCAATGTAAATAGAAGAGCAGCCATGCACACACAAACAGCGAGAGAGAGAGAGAGAGAGAGAGACACAGATACACAGCCGAATCTTTCATTACCTTGGAAATGGCATTCGCGTGAATAAACAGTTGTGTAAAAATGGACTTTAACACAATTGTCAGTTAAAACACGTCGATAATCATATCTCATACAATGGAAAATAATTAGGAGAAAAATGGTAATGTATTTTTGATCTTTTTTTCTCTCGTATATTCCAGAAATGATTCATTACAGCTATATTCGTTTGGCAGTGTTGGGAAGAGTGATTTAACTCATATGACTCGTGAATATTTAATGAATAATCGTGATGCTTTTTCTCTTCCCTGTTCCTTTTCTCTCGTGTGATTGATATCTTTTATGAGGGAGTGAACCGTACTGTGGTGAGTAAATTTGGTGACACGGAATGAAGCCATTCACATGCGACTTCGTTCGTCAAGTGTCTTTTTCCCCTTGTTGTTTTTCGTTTCTTTTGTGCACAAATTGAAAGTCTTGCTTTGAGTGGTACGGTTTTTTTTTCATCATCCCATTCTTAAGGTGACTGTCAAACAATTTTCAAACTCGATCGCTGTTTGATGGTGTCCAAGTGCAGCCGAGTAGAACAGCGTGTTTCAAATTGTTCTTACACAAATGTCTGCAACACAGTGGGAGCTGCCAGAGGAGCCAAGAGAAAACAATGAAAATGCAATAATAATAATTGGCTGTGTTAATAATGCGTAACATAACAGAGTGTTATGATTTTGAATTGTCGAATATGGGTTTATTGTCTGTAATAATCACGAACAAGAATCTTTTGTAATGCGCTCAATGCTGTGCACTCAGTTCATGCTTTCGCTTTGGTGTGTATTTTTTTTTCTCTTCTGTTTTCAGCGCGCACGCTACATTGTCTCTCACTTTGAGCGAGTATCATGTTGCTGTCGACGATAAATCAATAGACGAGTACGTATTGGATGGAAGAGCGATTGATGAAATAATTTCAAACCCCAAATGACTTGTGCTCATTGATTCGAATAATGCGAGAAGAAAACGATCAAAGCTCAATGTAAAAATGTGCACAACACACACACACACACACAGACACAAACGCTATCAGAGTCGATCAACACAATTTTGAATGGTAAAAAGAGTCAGACCCATCTCATATCGGAAACGGAAATCAGTAAAGAATATTTGCACGTATATATGTACGTATGTAATATGAACATTGAATGGTGAACTGCGACGCAATTCGTCCCCATAACAAATGAATGGTTTCATCGTGTCTCCGTCGTCATTGTTGCTCTTGTTGATTTTCATTTTTCGCTTCTCTGCCGTGCTTAAATACCTTGTCACGGGCATCGTCTTCATTCTTGTTGCTTCGTTAATGAATTTTTGCGCGTATCCTGTGTGTGTCTGTGTGCATTTATGTGTATGAAAAGGCAGACAAGAAAAGCATTTGGCCATTTCAGTCAGATCAAATACGATATTACAGTCCGTAAGTGGAATGTGTTCGTGCTCATTTGACTTTTGTTTTCTTTGCCACATTTTTTCTCGCTCTCTCTTTCTCTCTCTCGCTTTCTCTATCTATCTTTCCCTTGATTTTTTTTCGGGTAATGATACTGATTTTGTGGAAATATGCTTGGTATGCTCGCATTGCATGTACGACGACCCATCCAAAAAGGCACCGACAGACTGGATAGAATCAGAATGTTTCTGAACAAAAAGAAGAAAAATACCATGTGCGTGTGTGTGGATGTGGAATTTAACTGAAAGTAATATATATGAAGAGCGAGTCTAGTTGATCGCAAATAACAAACGCAATCGGACGTACACAATTTGTTTCGATAACTTGTTGTTTGTTGTTGTTTCTGTTGATGTTGCTACTGCCATACATTTTCCCATTACTTTGACGCTTCTCTCTTCTTCTTTTTAATTTCTTCACTTCACAGCGTACATACACAGTACATGTGCACATGTGATGCTGATGAACTTAGGAGTGATGTTAATAGAGTTCATCACAAAACGATGTGTCTTTTGTTCGCATCTATTTTTTTTTGTTTCTTCCGTTTTATTTTCCCAATCATTTGCCACATATGTAGCAAACAAGCGGGCGAGCGGGCGAGCAAGCGAGGAAACGAGTCACGAATGAACGAGCTTTTTCGATAGCGATCCGACTTACTGTCGTACATCATTTCATCATGGTGCGACGACGAGTTTGTGTGCAATTTAATTCATATTGCTGGCTTTCAACATGCTACTGATAATAGCAGATGGATAATGATTTTATGTGTGTTCGTTATTTTTCCATCTTTTGCACGTCACTTTCTCGGGCGCTTTGCAATGTGTGTACGCTGCTTCTTGAGGGACCCAAACGCATTCGTAACCATTCACGGATGGTTGAAACGTGAGCATTTCTCATGTGTTCGCAAAAATGATTGGAAGACACATACACACATACTCACACACACACACACATGTTGTACACACATTCTGCATAATTATGTAATGTCAAGTATGATGACAGAAACTGTGACAAGACAATAAATGTAAAAACCATGCCAGCGCATACAGAAAAAATAAAATAAAAAGAATTCAACCAAGTTGATGCACAAACTCACGATGCGAACTTGAAATAGAATTGAAAATATTCTGTAGTGTATATAATGTGACGTGGTAGGAAAAAAGTGAAACCAACCAACAAAAACAAAAATCGACAATGTCGATTACATCACCGGAATTGAGATATTTGAGAACTGAAATCCAGGTTGGGGATTAAAATTTATGCTAAAGACGGTAAACGCACGCACATCGTGATCCTAATGACATCGACACAAGCTCATGTACGATCAACTCTTTCATTTGGCATTCAGTGGACAGTGTCATGCACACGGCAAAAGCTCCTACTGTAGGTGCGCTTTGCACATATAATCCAAATGGAATGAATTCCAAACTCACATACAAATACAAGGCCAATGACAATAAACGACAGCATCGACGACGGAATTGAACGGTACTGATTCGATGCAGCTCTCTTTATACATATTTTGCTCATTTTCTTCAATCCCTGCCTCAATCAGCTGAAGTGCACTTCATTCGTACTTGTTTTTTTGTTTCGTTTCATTTCAACATGACACCACAATCGATGTGGTTTGAATCGAGAGCGAGAGTCGGAGCACATATATACACAAACGAAGATCAAACGTCACAACGACACACTGACATCTAACGATTACAAAATCTGACGTTCACCAGTTTCAACTCATTTTGTACGTTACACATTTTGTTTGGACAGTTTTTCCATTAAATTCTTGTGTAAAATCAATTGTAAATGTGTATGCGGCTGCCGTTGATTCCGATGCAATCCCAGCAAATTGATGACTGTGTTTGACTTTCTCTTCAATCGC